ATGGATGAGATGGATGAGATGGATGAGATGAATAAAGTGGATGAGATGGATGACGTGGACAAAGTTGAAGTTGTAGACAGAGTGTACGATGTGGACGAGGTTGACGAGATGGATGAAATGGATGAAATGGATGAGATGGATGAGCTGGGACAACTGTTCTAACTGGTTCACTTTGACACAATCAGCCTCCAAGTCTGTCCGGCTCGGAGGAAGCCGTTGTCGGCCGAGAATGGGGAGGTGGGTAAAGGGGCCATTCGTCCACGCCGGAGGAGCCCGGCAGATACAAGTTGGCTCTCCTCTTCACCTTGTCCAGCATGTCGGACCGCGGCCCGCACAGCCCTCTCTCCTCTCCTCCCACCACCTGTCTGTCACTACACGCCTCTTTCTGTATGGCTGTGCCAAGATGACTGTCTCTATGCTATAATCTCTCTCTCTCTCTCTCTCTCTCTCTCTCTCTGTGTGTGTTTGTGTGTTTGTTTTTTTCAAGTCTACTTTCACTGAGCCATCAGTAGTCGGTAGATGGCTATCCGACCAAATTGGACCTTCACATCGCATTCATGCATCAACACACACGTGCACATGTAAACAATTATGCATAGAAAGACAGACGTCACCATTTCGGTCTGGCCAATTTTCCACTCAACTGTGCTGCCGGATCAAACTGACACTCTCGTCCAAGATCCTTTCAGGCGTTTCCACGTTGACGAGTCGATTACAAGCTGACATCACCTACAGTCTCTGAGCGCCGACCATTTTCGGCACCATTTACCACGTGTCCACGTCTCTCTCTTCCATTCTGACGTCCCAAAAACCTACACACACACACACACACACACACACATATTTTACATATATTCCCCAGCTCGCATGCATGCGCACAGCCAGTGAGTGGGTTCACTTGTAGAGTGTGTTTGAGGTGGTGTGTGTCGAAGAATACGTCAGTCCTATGGCCACACGGGAAGAGTGTGAATAGCTAGACGTGGAGGCGAGTGTGTGCATGAGGTACAGGTGGAGGAGGAAAAGGGGAAAGGTGAATTGGTTGCACATGCGAGCGGCCCCATCTCGTCGTAGCTGGCCGAGGCTGAGCAGATTGACGGTCGCAGGAGTCGGCAGGTCGGACAGTTTTGGCTGTAGCGAATCCCGTCCCTCGAGGCCAAGTCGGTTGTCCGCGGAGACAATCGGTCGGTCGGTCGGTCGGTTGGACGGGCCGAAGCTAAGGGGCCCTTAAGTTAAGGAGTGAGAGAGAGAGAGAGAGAGAGAGAGAGTGAGGAGAAAAGGAGAAAAAAACAAAGTGGCACCGCGACTGGCGCTGGCTGACAAACAATTACCGGTCCGGGGAATAGCGCACGCCGAGAGGCCTGAGAAAATGGGAAAAAACGAACAAAACTGAGCAAAAACCGGCAAACTGTGGGAAACAATTGACTGTCGCCTCTCGGCTTTGCGGCTGTCGGTCGAGTCCGTGCGCCACGACGCAAAGTCGACGGCGACGGCGACGGCGACGGCGA